TGCTTGAGTGGGGCAGAGAAAGCAGGTTTCCGATGAGAACGAAGAGTGAGACAGGCTCATTGAGAGACCTCAAACGACCAGAGATGCTGAACAGGACCCAGGTGGTGTCAGACTCAGTTTTCCAAAGATGGCCACTGTATTAGTTATCTATGGCTGCGTAACAAGTTATCCCAAAATTTAGCAGCTGAAAACAACAAACGTTTATAAGCTTGTGGGTCCTATGGGTCAGGAACCTTGGCACCACTTAGCAAAGTGCCTTTGTATCAAGGTTTCCCACAAGGTGGCAATCATGGTGTGAGCTGGGACTGCCGTCATCGCAAGGCTCCAGTGATAGGTTGAATTTATGTCTACCATTTTATTATTTATTTTCAGTTCATCTCTTTTGCGTTTTCTTCACCTCTTTTTTTTTTCCTGCATTTTTTTGGTATGATTTGAATATTTTGTAGTATTCCATTTAAATTTGGCTATGAGTTTTCACATTCTCTCTCTCTCTCTTTTCAGTGGTAGTGCTAGGGATTACAATATACCTACTTAAATTTGCACACTTTGCTTAGAATTAATATTTTACCACTTCAAGTGAAATGTAGAACCATTATTTAGTTCTCTCCCTTCATGTTGAAGTTGTCGCAAGTGTTACATCTATGTACACTGAAAACGTCATGAGATGGTGTTCTAATTTTTGTTTTCAACCCCAAACATTTTAAAGAACTTAAGAAGAGAAAAATACTCTAGTATATTTACCCACAGATTTACCATTTCCGTTGGCCTTTTTTTCTGAAGTTCCGATCTTCCGTCTGGCATTATTTCCCTTCTGAAGAACTTCCTCTATTTTTTTTAAGAGCAGGTTTACTGGCAACAAATCCTCTTAGTTATTTTTTGTTTGAGAATGTCTTTATTTTGCCTTCATTCCTGAAGGATGTTTTCACTGGATATAGAACTTTGGGTTGACAGTTCTTTTCTTTCAGCACTTGAGAAATGTTGTCCAGCTGCCTTCCATCCTGCATGTTTTCTGGTGAGAAATCTGCAGTCATTGAAATCATTTTTTCTCCATATGCAGTGGATTGTCCCTCTCTGGCTGCTTTCAAGAGTTTTTCTTTGTCATTAGTCTCCAATAGTTTGATTACGATGTGTCTGGGTGTGGATTTCTTTGAGTTTATTGTGCTTAGGGCTTGCTGACTTTCTTGAATCTGTAGGCTTGTGTCTTTTGCTATTTGGGGGAAATTTTCAGCCATTATTTCTTCAAATATTTTTTCTGCATTACACTTCCTTCTCTTCTCTTTCTGGGACTCTGGTGACAGGAATGTTGGACCTTTTAATGTTGTCCCACAGCTCCGTTGTTGAGATTGGATCATTTCCATTGCTCAGTCTTCAAGTTCATTTACTATTTCCTTTTTCATCTCCGTTCTGCTATGTAGCCCATCCAGTGAATTATTAATTTTCATTATAGTATTGTTCAGTTCCAAAATTTCCATGTGTTTTCTGAAAAAATCTATATCTCTATTGAGACTTTCTTTGTTTCCATTAGTTCAGGAGTATTTGCCCTTACTTCTTGGGCATAGTTACAATAGCTGCTTTAAAGTATTTGATAACACCAACATTTGCACTATTTTAGAGTTGGCATATCATGATTTTTTTTTCTTTTGTGAGTGTTTGGGAATCTCCAACTTCATGTGTCTAGCAATTCTGGATTGTATCCTGGACATTTTGAAGGTTACGTATAACATAATATTATATTATGATACTCTAATCTTTATGATGCTTAGATCCTACTGAGAATATTGATGGTTTTGCTTTGGCAGGCAATCCACTCAGTGAGGTTCAGGTTGCAGGTTGCAACCCAGTTTCTTCGGGCCGTGGTTCCAATGTCAGTTCAGTTTTCAAAGGTGTTGCAGTGCTATCTGTCCTGTGTGCATGTCACCCACACTCTCTGACTCATAGTTCCTCCTTTCCTGCTCATTGGACCAGAAAGAGGGCTTTTCTCAGAGCGCATTCTGTCTGCATCCAGTGTGCAGTTCTGGGTTTTTGGCTGCCTTTAACTCTAGGCTGGGAAATACCAGAGGAAAAGTAATGACAGACTCATTGTTTGTTGTGGTTTGGTGGTAGTGTGGAATCTGCGTTCCTTCCTCAATCTGACTGCTACCACTTGCTTTTTTTTTTAAACAGACTTCATTTTTTAAGAGAAGTTATGGGTTTATAGAAAAATTGAGCGGAAGGTACAGAGACTTCCCATATACCCGCCTACTCACCCCAGTTTCCCCTTTGCTTAGCATCTTGCATTGGTATGGTACTTTCGTTACAACTGGTGAACCAATATGGATACATTATTATTAAGGAAGGTCTGTAGTTTATGTTAGGGTTCATTATTTGTGTTATACATTCTATGGGTTTTGCCAAATGCATAATATCACATGTGCACCATTACAGTATCATGCAGGATAGTTTCACTACCCTAAAAATCCCCTGTGCTCCACCGAATCATTTCTCTCCCTCTACCCTCATCAACCCCTGGCAACTACTGATATTTTTACTGCCTCTATAGTTTTTCCTTTTCCAGAATGTCATATGGTTGGAACTATACAGTATACAGCCTTTTCATATGGCTTCTTCTACTTAGCAATATATCTTTAATTTTCCTCCATGTCTTTTTGTAGCTTGATAGCTCATTTCTTTTCATTGCTGAATAATATTCCACTGCATGAATGTACCACAGTTTGTTTATCCATTCACCTGTTGAAAGACGTTTTGGTTGCTTCCAATTTTTAGAAATTATGAATAAAACTGCTATAAACATTTATGGGCAGGTTTTTGTGTGGACATCACTTTCAACTTATTTGGGTAAATACCCAATAAGCAGTGTAATTGCTCGATTGTGTGGTAAGATTATGCTCAGCTTTGTTAAGAAACTGCCTTCCCAAAGTGCCCCTATCATCTTGAATTCCCACCAGCAATGAATGAGAGTTCCTGTTGCTCCACATCCTTGTCAACATTTGATGTTGTCAGTGTTCTGGATTTTAGCCATTCTAATAGGTGAGTGATAGTATCTCGTTACTGTTTTAATTTGCAATTCTCTAATGACATAGGCTGTTGAGTGTATTTTCATATGATTATTAGCCATCTGTGCATCTTACTTGGTGACCTTTCAGATTTTTGCCCATTTTAAAATCCGGCTGTTTGTTTTCTTATTGTTGAGTTTTAAGAGCTCTTTATGTATTTTGGATACAAGACCTTTATTGGGTTTTTTCCCATCTCTGGTTTGTCTTTACATTCTCTCTCTTTTTTTTTTAATTTTTATTTATTATTTTCCCCCAAAGCCCCAGTAGATAGTTGTATGTCATAGCTGCACATCCTTCTAGTTGCTGTATGTGGGACGTGGCCTCAGCATGGCGGGAGAAGCGGTGCATCGGTGCGCGCCCAGGATCCGAACCCGGGCCGCCAACAGCGGAGCACGTGCATTTAACCACTAAGCCACGGGGCCGGCCCTCTCTTTGCATTCTCTTAATACATTTATTTTTGAGAGTCCTTAGATAGATTTTCCATGCCTTCCGTGGGAGAGACAGGATGGGCTGTGCACTGACTCCATCTTGACGAGAACCAGAACCTCTGGGCTGGAATATTTTAAAGAAAATCTAAGGCATCATATCATTTCACCCATAAATATTTCATACGTTTTTCTAACAGGTAAGGACTTTTTGTTTTAAGCATAACCACAATATCACTATCACACACAAGAAATTTAACCATTGTTCCTTAATATCATCTCATACCTAACACTCTCATACTTAATTGTCGATTTTCCCTGATTGTCTCAAATATGTCTTATTTTTGGTTGGCTCATTTGAATCAGGATCCAAACAAGGTCTACATATATCATTTGGTAGATATTTCTCTTAAGTGTCTTTTAATCTATCATAGCCCCCCTTCCTTTAGAAAATGCCCTTTATTTATGGAACCATTGGATTTTCTGTGATGAGCTATGTGTGGAGAAGGCACATCTGCTCTTTTTTTTTTTTTAATTTTATTTGTTTATTTTTCCCCCAAAGCCCCAGTAGATAGTTGTATGTCATAGCTGCACATCCTTCTAGTTGCTGTTATGTGGGACGCGGCCTGAGCATGGCCGGAGAAGCAGTGCGTCGCTGCACGCCCGGGATCTGAACCCGGGCCACCAGTAGCGGAGCTCACAGCACTTAACCGCTAAGCCACGGGGCCAGCCCTTGGCACATCTGCTCTTAATCAGCCAGAGAGAGACCCACATCTCTTCTGCTCACATTCCATTGGCTGGGACCCATCACATGGCTCCACCCACCTGCAGGGGAGTCTGGGAAATGTCATTAGCAGAGTGGCCAGAAAGTAAGGCTACAGGTTAGGTGAACACATAGCGCTGTTTCCACCACACCCCCTCCTACCTCCCTGGACCAGCTCCTGACTTTGCATCAGAGGCCATGATGGGAAGAAGGGACCACACGCAAGCCATCCAGTGATGGAGAGCAGCAGCAACGTTCAGTTTTCTGAGGCTGCTGGGGCAGCGGGTCTGGTAACAGATCAGTGTCCACTATCAGTCATGGTTCGACCCAATGGCCGTGGCAGTTGAGTCTTCTCCAGAACCGGTTCTGTGTCTTTGAGACCTGAAGCCTTCTTCACCAGTCTCCTGGAAACTCAGTGAGGTCCCAAATATTTTTTAAAAATCAGCTTTATTGAGGTAGGTTTTACATATCATAAAAACATCGCTTTCAAGTGTACATTTCAATGATTTTTAGTAACTTTACTGAGTGGGGCAACCATGGCCATAATTCAGTTTTAGAACATTTTTATCCCTCCAGTAAGAGCCCTTGTGCCCATTTACAGTTGATTCTCATTCCTACTCCCAGCCTCAAGCAACCACAAATCTCTGTAGCTTTGCCTTTTCTGGACATTTTGTATAAATGGAATCATACAACATGTGATACCTTGTGTCTAGCTTATTTTACTTAGCATAATGTTTTTGAGGTTCATCCGTGTTGTAGCATATGTCAGTCCTTTTTCTTTCTTTCTTTTTTTTTTTTT